CTTGTCTTTCATTGTATTGTGTGTGTTTGGTTCAGTCACCAAAAGGAGACATAAGTTACTTGCAGAAGTTCTTTTTAATGTATGTTGGTGGAAGACAACCTCTCCATTTTCAAGAAGATTTCTGTGGCACTGCTCTTTTAAGGTGTGTGTTTCACTTAATGGTGCAAATTTTAGCTTTTGGTTTCTTTCCTGGTTATAATGACCATCTTGAATAAGTTTTACATTGATTGTTTGAATAGTGCGGAGTGGCTGAAGACAGACACAAGGCGGACTGCTATAGGGCTAGATTTTGACCTTGAGGCGTTAGAATGGTGCATGGATAACAACATTAGTAAACTTGGTTCTGATGTGTATTCAAGAATGTCGCTTTTTCATGGGAATGTTTTGAGTCCTCTTGAGGCTAAGCAAGTGAAATCTAAATCCCATGAGCTGATACAAAATATAAGCTTGGATGATGATGATAGTGAAGATTTGGCTGATTCTAGTGTTGTCGAATCTTTAGAGAAAGATGGATCTGATTTGTTACCGAAGAGGGATATCGTGTGTGCTTTTAATTTTAGTTGCTGTTGTCTCCACAAACGCTCGGAGTTGGTTTCTTACTTCAAGAATGCACGTGATGCTTTGTCCAAGAAAGGTGGTATTTTCGTGATGGATTTATATGGAGGTGCTTCTGCTGAGGGACAGTTGAAGCTTCAACGGAAATTCCCAAATTTCACAGTAAGAGTTCATTCTTATACTTTCATTTGGTACAAAAGGGTGTCAGAGCCATAAAATATCAAACTTTTTAGGAATAACCGTATTAACGATTGTCCATATCATTTGGCAGTATACATGGGAGCAGGCTGAGTTTGACATTTTAAGTCGCAAGACAAGGATCAGTCTGCACTATCACCTTCAGAAGCAGAACAGAAAGATTCGCCATGCCTTCTCATATAGCTGGAGACTGTAAGTGTCCTGTAGTCTGCTTCTACATCCATTCTTTCTCCAAAGTGGGACAGTCATTAGTCACTATCTCCCACAAGTCTTAAGAAAATGTCAACAGTAACAAAAAAAAACCATATTTATATACTTCGGGGTTTTGCTTAGCATTTTAGATAACTTGACAAGCGTAGGATGATGTTTCATCTGTCATTTTTATGTTCCTGCATCCCCTGGCTTTTGGTTATTATTGTTTGGTTGGGTGAGGTAGATATTGAGTAGTGCAGCCACTAAGGATCAAAACTTACACAATCATGTACTCGAATGTAGCTGATATCTAAATTCTCATGTTAGTGAGTTATCCTTGTGTTGGCGGATAAGTGGTAGTGAAGTGATATTATATGTTATATTCGGGCAAGACAATATTCCTGCTTTCCTTATTGTCGATAGAATTATTGTACTTCCACTTTTGAACTTGAATCTGTCATCTGTGATTCAAACTAAGATCCTGAGAAGTAATTCCTGCATCTTCTGTTCATGTACGTGTAGGTGGTCATTACCGGAGATAAAGGACTGTATGGAGGAAGCTGGGTTTAGCTCAGTCCATTTTTGGCTCAGAGAAATGCCGGATGCTTCTGAAATGCGTAGAACAGATGGGTTTGGTGCTGGACGTGATATCAAGTACGAACAAGTCAAGAGCTTTCAACAGTGTGATTCTTGGAATGCTTACATTGTTGCGGTCAGCCTCTAGTTATGCTTTTTATCTTTTGATCAAAATCTATGAAACCTGACAGTAGTGTCAGCCTGACACTAGCCCTTTAAATCAGATCCTTTGGCGATTTTACATCTGGTATTTATTTCTGACAAGCACTGGTTTAGTTTTATGCACCAATAATCAAGGATAAGTTGGGAAACATTCCCCTCCGTAGATTTGTCATGTGGTCGTTGTTGAAGCAATTGGATTCATACCTCTACAGTTCCGCTGATTCCATGATTTAAACCTTCATTTGGATTTTACATAAGAGTAGATAGATAGTGTTCTCTATATTACCACAATACCACTAGACAATGTTTCCGGACATGATGAATTAGTAATGAGCTCTTGATGACACTGTAGCAAAGACATTCAAGTGTCATATTATATTCATAATTATATAAGCTTCAGGACCGGTAAGGCTTAGGTTATGATTGAGATACTTAGATGCTAACTCGTCAGAAATCCGAATGAATGATGACTCAAGGATAGATAGTGTCAACGAGAAGCAAAAATTGCTCTAAGAGAAATTCCTATTCATAATCAAGACAGTGTCTGGAACAAATCATGGCTTTTAAATAGTGAATCTTGGTTTTAACAAAGGAAAACAGCTTAAATGCAAAGATTAAGGAAAATGATAAAACCAATTAATGAGAATATTAATTCGATCAGGAATTGATAAGTCATGTTACCGTTGTGATTTGATGATGTTAGCAATCTAGTTTGATCAAGACTGGTGATCTTGGCGTGTGACCAAATTGGAAGGACAGCCATATGAGATTACTTGTGATATTTGTAAGGAAAAAGTGAACTCTATAATCTTGGCGACGAAGAGGAGGCTTAACCTTGATTGGTTCATTGTTATCATATAACTGTACTAGAAAAAAGAATGCAATACTTCAGTGTGAATGCGATAACATAAGGCAAATTTTCGGCTTTGATTGCTGGACGATTTGACGGAAAAAAAGAATGCCGGCCGGGTAGATAAGGTAATCTCGTGCGGGTTCGATGCTAAAATTGGTCTAGCTAGATCATTAACCGAAGAAACATCAACCAAAAAGGTCAAACAAATTGCACCAGATACTGCATCAGTCGAAAGTACTATATATAGTCAGTACTAGAAAAATGGTCGAATATCAATGTTCAACATCTCTCTTCCATTTATCTTTCATAAATACTTTCGATCAACAACAATCCTCCTATTCAGTACCATTCACAATAGACAGTCGAATGAAAGAACCTATTCCGTGTACACCGAACGAAGTCGAATCAAGTCCGTTCCCTAATGACCGAATCACCTGAACCCTAATATCAACGACGTTCTCCACAAGAAACAAATTCAACAATTAGATTCTGAAAATTTGTTTCCATATGACATATAATTTAATGAAATTTCTACATTTATTGGTAGTACAAATTGTTAAAAGACAGAGAATAATGTAGGAGCTTCTGGAATCTTTCAACGCCAACCCAAACGCCAAATAACACCATTTTCCACAAATTTCCATTTTACGACCAAAGAAAAAAAAAACAATAATTTAATTTTATCGATTGCTTCGTCGTTAATTTTCCCATCTCTCCTCATCTTTCCTTTCTCATCTCTCGATTCCTTTCTTTCCATATTCCATTGATTTCTCTCTTCTTTTAAATACAGATTCTCTCTTCTTCTTCTTCTTTTTCTTTCAAGAATCAAACAGATCTATAAATCGTCTTTTTTCCAGGTAATGATTTGTTGTTTTCTATGTTTTTTTGATGAGATTAGACAACAGATCTATCGATTTTGAGATCTGAATTCTGACTTTTTTCGATCATCGATCGGTTTAATTTCGTAGAAAATCTCGAAGGTTATGGCGGAAGAACACAGACTTCAAGAACCACGATTATGTGCTAAGAATTGTGGTTTCTTTGGAAGCACCGCTACACAAAATCTTTGTTCTAAATGTTTCAGAGATGTTCAACATCAAGAACAAAACTCTTCCACCGCTAAACACGCTCTTAACCAAACCTTAGCCGCCGTTTCTACAGGTGGGGGTGTCGCGTCCTCCTCCGTATCACCACCGCCTCAAGCTGATTCGAAGGAAATCGTCGAAACGAATTCGAAGAAACGAGCGGCGGAGGTGGAGGAGGAGGAGGAGGAGGAAGCGGCGCCGTCGTCGCAAGATCCGAAGCGGTGTTTGACTTGTCGGCGGCGGGTGGGAATAACGGGGTTTCGGTGTAGGTGTGGTTTCGTTTTCTGTGGGACACATAGGTACGCGGAGCTGCATGAATGTTCGTTTGATTTCAAGAGGATTGGGAAGGATAAGATCGCTAAGGCGAATCCGATTGTGAAAGCTGATAAGCTTGAGAAGATTTGAGTTTGTTGTTGTTGTTTGGTTTGTGAGTTTGAATGAAACTTACATGATGATGAAGAAGAGCAAGAAACAAACATGTTAATGTAAATTTAATCAAATCATTTTAAGCTTTATTTGATGATTTTCTTCAGTTTGGTTATAAAATTTGCCTCTCCCAAGTGTTGTTTTAGATTTGATAGCTTTGATGTGTAAAATTGGGTTGGTTCGTCATGGTGTTCATGTTTTTATAGGTTTGGGTGACTTTGTGTTGTTTTTCTTCAACCCTCATAGAGGTATGAGATGATGAATATGTGGTTCTAACTCATGTTCACGTACTATATTGATTAGCATCTCACAAAGTAATGATTCAGAGTAACCTTGTTGTTACTTGTTAGAGAATCCTTTGGCACTTTTCTTTATGTAAAATGCATGTTAAACAAGCTGAATAATTAAGAAGACCTTACTTTAGCTTGAGAAGACCTTACCAAATAATAAAGAAAAACTTGTTCCTCTTCGGTTAACAGAAGAAGACCCTCTTGAAAATATAATGGGCCAAATGGGCCACCGAATATTAAATTTTCACTGGTCGCAAGAGAACAAAAACTCACAAAGCATCGGATTAGTCATTCGTCTGACGAAGCCGATTCTCCCAGGACAATTTGTACAGTCTATGGCCACTGTTGTCTACGGCAATCTCTTTTCCATGCAGTCCTAAAAAGAAGAAAAAAGAAATTTAACAAAAGCTCAACCGATCGATACACGGCGTTTTTTTTAACCAGTCGTTTGATTTTTTTCACCGATCGGGCCTCTTAACGGATCATCTCTTCTTTTAACGTTTTTTTGGGTACATTTTCCCCTTAAAAATCTCACTTCTACTTTGTAGGTTCAGAATCTAACACTTAAAAAACATCGAAAACGGCTTGTTTTCGACTAAAAGACTCTACAAAATAAACAAAAGAAACCTATAAAATATGTTAAAAATATCACTTAACATATCTGCATTTACTTTTCTTTTATTCGGTTTTTGAAAGGTTCATTTTGTAGTTGGAGGGGATGGACAAAAAAATGTGCGATTAGAGGAAATGAGAGAGAAGCATTCTCTCCAAGATAGAGTCGAAATGCTGGGTGCAGTGCCACATTCTCGTGTGCGCTCTATTTTGGTAACTGGTCATATTTTCCTCAAGAGGTGTGATGATTCTTACACTTTTCTATGTTTAAAATTCACAAAACTTACACTAGTTTTTATAGTTACTGCTACTACAGTCTTGATCTTTGACAGTTCTTCAAAGAAGCCTTCTGCATAGCTATATTGGAGGCGGCTACTTGCAGGTTATTAACTGTCAACACTCATGTTGGAGGTGTCCCAGAGGCGTGTAACATTTCCTATAATACCTTCACTGCCATTTTGCTTCATCCTCGTTGTTTCTTTCCTCCAGATTGATAAAATAATATTTATTTTTACGGTTTGCAAGTCCTACCAAATGATATGGTTGTACTTGCTGAACCAAATCCAGATGACATGCTACGAGCAATTGAGAAGGCAATATCAATACTACCAAGTATCAACCCCGAGGAGATGCATAATCAAGTGAGTAATGCTTCAAATCCAAGGCTAACATACCAACCTACTTATAAGAGTTAGGAGTATCTTCTAAGCCTTTGATTTTTTTTTTAGCTTGTTGCTACCAGATGAAGAAGCTCTACAGTTGGGAAGATGTTGCCAAAAGAACCGAGATTGTGTACGACCGTGCCTTGAAATGTTCAAATAGGAATCTTCTAGAACGTCTATCGCGGTACATCAGTGTAAACCTCACCCTCTCCTTTTACTTCAATACCAATGAATATCTGATCTTTTGTAAGTTCCTCTCGTGTGGAGCCTGGGCAGGGAAGCTATTTTGTATGGTTATGATCCTCGATAACTTGCTTTGGCGGTTACTTCAGTACTGCAGGTAATCTCTTATTGCTTCACCTTCTCTAATGCTTGTGTTTACAAAATGTAATATCTCGAGATTTAATGGACTTTGCCTCAGCCTGATGAAGATATCAAGGAGGCACCTGATATCTGTCTTTGCCGTCGCCAAGGCGTTTAGGTACCGAGGGTCTAAAGGAAGAAGATAAAGTGTATAATGGGTGACTCAAGTTTCATCTCCGTCAATTTTTGGAATTTTGTTCCCTAAAATTAGAAGTGAGCCCTAGATTCATTGTTTTCTTAGGACCTAAGTAACTTCAGAAACTTATCTATACAGTTTTCAGATTTTTCATTACAAATTGTTGTCTTTCCCAAACGGAAAATAGTTATGGAAAAGGGAGAGACGATGATATAGGCAAGAATTCACACTCGCAAGATACAAATATGATTATCTTTTGTGTAATATAACATTACTATGTTTGTTTTAGAGAAAAATATGGAGTACTAAGAGCATCTCCATTGGGTAGAAATTTTGATTAATATAACATTACTGTAATTGTATGATAAAACTTTAATTTACAAAATAAAATTGAAGTAATGAGATGAAGACAAGTGTTATTTGAGTATCTCATTTAGAGATCTCACAATCTCTCTCATAGTTGTACAGTGACATGAGTCAATCTTTTCGAGAATACCATGCGAAAGCAAAAAAACAAATAGCTATCATATAGAGATGTCAAAATGAGTCAAAATGCTTAGATTGACGAGTGTTCTAAAATACGATATACGTTAAGCGTAAGGTAGAGTACCGTATAGCATATACGACCGTTTATGCGGGAACTATACAGTGGATATTTTTTGTTGATAAAAATATATAGATATATAATTTGTCAAGATATGCATATATAATTACAAAATTATAATAACTATAAAACATAATTATAATAATCATGATGAATACTACAAAAAAAATAATCACTTTTACAAAATATTTTTAAATTTTGAATAACAAATAAGCATGAAAATAATAGAAAAATGATAATAAAGTTATTTTATAGTTATTTTTTATTGTTAATTATTATCTGGAAACTTGCTATCATTCCAAAGATCAAGCTTATGCTTTGGCGAATAGTTTCAAAAGCTTTGCCTACTTGTTCCAGGCTTGTGAAACGAGGTATGAACATTGATCCTTACTGCCCACGTTGTCATAAAGAAGAAGAATCCATTTGCCATGTACTCTTCAAATGTCCCTATGCAAACATGATCTGGCGCTTATCAAACACACCCGTGTTAATGTCACACCTGTTTACGGATGATCTTGAAGAAAACATTTCTTTAATTGTGGATTCCTACCATAATTCAAATTTTACATAACAACAAAAGCTTGATCCCTTCTGGCTACTATGGAGAATATGGAAAGCAAGAAACAATCTAGTTTCAATAAATTCAGAGAGAGTCCTTCGAGAGTTGTTATACAAGCTCAAGCTGAAGTCAAAGCTTGGATTAACAATGTTGCAAATCGGCGTATCAACATATCCAAACCAAGTCACGTTACCTCTGCTACTTCTACATGGACAAAACCACCTTCTTCTTTTGTTAAATGTAATTTTGACGCAGGCTTTGACGTTCGAACTTTTAAGGGCACTGCTAGTTGGTTACTACGAGACCATTATGGACGAGCTAAAGCATGGGGATCTTCAATTCTACCTCACGTGTCTACACCTTTAGAGGCGGAAACAAAGGCTATGCTTATGGCTATTCAACAAACATGGATAAGAGGCTATCGTAACGTAATTTTTGAAGGCGACTGTGAGCTACTTATTAAAGCCTTAAATGGTCTCTCTCAGCATCATGAACTGTTCAACCTTCTTCAGGACATCGATTTCTGGACTTCAAAATTTTCTAATGTTAATTTCGCATTCGTAAGGCGCCAATGTAACACTGCAGCCCATTTTTTAGCATCTTACGTTTGTAATAATGATGTGTTTTACTCAAGTTCGAATACTCAGCCACTGGGGCTTCAAAAACTTCTTTGTAAAGATTTAAATACTTGAATGAAATTCCTGTTGCAGCAAAAAAAAAAAAAATTATTTTAGAGCCAAACCAATAGTTTTGTTAAACTGTTTCTCCAAACATTAATAAAATGACATAGTTTTTGTTTTTGAGCATTTAAAGAATAGTGTCGTATATGTGGAATTCACCGTAACGGACCATATATCTTTTACCGTATTAATTATTTATATAGCGCCATAATACAGTACGGATTTCTACCGTACAACGCATATACACTGTATATATAGCCGTATAGACCGTATTTTAGAACACTCCCAACCTAATATTACCCGGATTGAGTAGCACCTCCCTAGCAGTCCTAATTCACTAAATCCCTCTGCATATTTTACGATGTGTTTGAGAGTTTCATCTTCGTCACAAACCTTCAAAAAGAACAGTATTTGCGTTGACATTTCAATGAATGCCCTCTCACATCTGTAGCTAGCAAAGTTGTGAGGATTTGAAAAGCCCCGTCCAAGATACTTTGTAAGAGCATCTCCAATGGTAGACATCCATAGAGTGTCTCACCAATATAATATTAATATTTTTATGTTTAATTTATTTAGAGAAACTCACACTAAAATTCTACTTCCATTGGTGAGATATCTCTATAAATGTCTCATCAATATAATATTTATATTCTTATATTAAATTTAATTTTTCAATAATATTTTTAAACATATCAAATTATATCTTAAATATAGTCATTCAGACAAAATAAATATATTTTTGTAGAAGTAAATAATATAATGAATATTAATAATTTTAAAAACATTAATTAATAATACTATTAATTATAAATAATATATTAAAGAGACTATTATTATTTAATTATATTAGAAATTTTGTAAAACAATATGATTAAAATTACACATCATTTTATCAAATAGATTTTAATTATATTGGACATTTTGTAAATAATGACAAAAGATAACACATTATTTATCAAAATATCAAAATGTTGACAAAATATCAGATTATTCATCTCAGATTTATTTTCTAATATTATAGTATTTTATTAACTAAAAATATTAATTTATATTTATATTAACCTTAACTAATATCAATTAAAAATAATATTAATAAATAGTTTAAACTTTTGTATAATGGAGCTTGATATATAGATAATTTTATTTTATGAATTGTAAAAAAATAAAAAATGAAAAATAATAACTTATAAACTATTTAATTGATATTATAAATCTTAGAGTAATTGAATTTTAAAAAAATTGTTAAACCAATATAAGAGTTACATGTGTATGAGAGAGAGAGTTTCTCGAAGTTTCTCAAATGATTAAAAATTATTTTTTATTTATTTTTTATTTATTTTTATTATGGGTGTCTCATGAAGACACTACCAATGAAAGTGCTCTAAGCCCCTAGCAAATTTGCTAATATCTCGCAAAACACTCACAAATTTGCGAGGAATTCTTTCACCGCATATATGCGAGTGAAGTACGAGAAATTTTGAGGCCATAACAAAGCACTTGTAATGTCCTAGCTCGTAATATCCCTCGGAAATTTCCTCGCATGTTTTCTTGTAATTTACACATTCTATTCGTTAGCTAACTCCAAACTTTGTATTTGGTATAAATTCAGTGGAAACCATTTGTGTTCAAGGTTAAATATAATATTAGGGTCACACAAAAAAAAAACAAAGCAAAGATTTATGTTTCATGGAGGTTTATGTTTTACAACATTACACAAATCTTAAAATAACATCCAAAACATCTAAAATGATATCCCATTAATTCGTTTATTATTTTTTGGAAAATCTACCATTACAACTATGTAAGAAAATTTGATAATATAGAAACATCAGTTATAATTACATTGAAAATCATAAAAAAAAACATCCATCAATATGAAAATTGACCAGGAGATTATATAAGCCAAGTTTATTCAGATCACAAACAGTTCATAACAAATACACACATAAATACGATAGGAAAAGCTGCTCCCCCTAACTAAAATATAGAATGCATGGAACAACACATATTGTCCGGGCACAGCCAGAAATAGTTAGAGCAGCGGTAAAAGTCATTCATCAACGGCGTCTAGCGGCGGTCTCACGCTGGCAGTTGAAGAAAACAGCCGCGACGGGAAGGCCAAGATCGTTCTCATGCGCAAATTCTCGAGTGTTGAATTGGTCTCTGTACGATGGCACAGACACCACACTTCCTCTACGGTTCTGTTTGAACAACAAATACACAAAGCGGTGGATCCCTATGTTTGGCCGAGGCATCTCGTACCCGATTATTTCTTTTCCTGTTTTGTATTAATCTTATATTAAAATCTTTCCACATAAGGTATACGTAGATATATGAAACTTATATCTAAGGATATGTATAGGGACTTACCAAATGATACATCGGTCGTCCCCGGGATATCAGTAACAACCCTGAGATTAGTCATTGCAAGGAAATGTTATGTATTTATTATTTATATATCGTAACAGTTTTATTTGAGTCTTTGGTAAATTTATATCTTTAACAAAAATTGGAAGGAACAAATTTTACCAATGCAAGTGCTCTCTCAGATAAGGATCACTAGGTCCAGGAACATCAGGATCAGTCATGACCTGTTTGAAATATTCGACATGTATGTTAATACACGTGACACATCCAATATTCAAGATTAACATATATAACACGTATGTATCTGACACAAACTATTATATATGCATATGAAGATAATATAAATAATTTAAAGCTCATTTTTGTATGTACATAAAGATTCAAATAAGTCTCATAGTTAGAGAGGAGAAAAGTCTTATATTTATGACATAAATTAAGAATCACCTAGCTAAGCTATTTTCACCTTACCATAAATTTAATTTTCAGTTATATAACTATATATATGATTTATATGATATACAATAAATAAAGCAATACGTACCAAAGTGAAGAATGATCTCATGTCACCCCCATGAACTTCAACCTTAGGTTTGTTTGTAACAGCTGAAGGGAAAAGTTCATGTCCATTGTAGACTTGCTTGTCAGAGTTATAGGTCACTGTCATTTTCACTGCCTGCAAACAATTGTCCACAACGTCTCCGATCACTCTCCCAACCATAAGCGGGTCTGAGGAAATCCGGGCCATCTCGATTGCTTGGTTAAGGATTTAGAAGAAGAAATAAAGAATAAGTGTGAAAGAAACTAAGGAAATAGTG